CTCTCTCTCTCTCTCTCTCTCTCTCTCTCTCTCTCTCTCTCTCTCTCTCTCTCTCATGACATCTCACATCATAAACAACAATCCAAATGATGAGAACAACTGTGAAATAAATTCCTGTTTTCTTTTTCTACAACGGAAACCTCTCACTGAATGTCTGCAAACAAATGCATTGAGTATTGAATTCAATAAATATGTTATGATTTATGATTTTATGAGTAGAGCTCTGGCTGTGGGACTGACTTTGATTATTATTATATGTTTTTGATTTTGTTGTTTTGTTACCAAATGTGGCCGCGATTTATGAACGCATTCTTTACCACCAATTGCTATAAACTTCTGCTGAAGTCATTATTTGGTGAATATTTTGCAGATCTCGTCGGCATTCATACTGTTATTATTGATGTATAAAAAATATTTCAAACTTTAGACCATAGAAACAATTATGATTTCTTTACGAAACCCATTTTTATTTTCTCAGACTGATTTTAATTGCTCTCTCTCTCTCTCTCTCTCTCAATTAAAACGTAACAGTAATTAATCCCAATTTATTAATTATTTACTTTTAACAGATTCTGAATTAAATCCATTGAAAGCTAGGGTCATAAGATGGCTCACATTTGAAGCGAATGACTTGATATATGTTTGGCACCACTCGGACGGTGTGAACCCCGACTGCGATTCCGAAGACTTTGTGACGTGAACTGGCCTTTCATTGAAACAACACTCGTGGATGAGTATACCTGTGACCTGTAATTACAATGTATGTGTGTTATATTTGGTAGACATAGATATCTAATTATTAATAATCAGTAGTTATGTCATTGACAAACGTCTCTCTCTCTCTCTCTCTCTCTCTCTCTCTCAGATTTTCTATCAGACTTATGCCATAAGTATTAGTGCTATTAAATACAAAACACTTGAGATCCATGAATCAAATGCCGGTATTCTTTGTGTTGAGTATATTTTGTCACTCGTCTTCATATTTACTGAAAATGATTATAAAAATAATTTCATAACGATTTCGAACTATCGGTGAAAAACATCATTTAATATCTCTTTTATATGAACTCATATTCAGTGGACACTCGCTATAATCAAGTGAGAGAAGAGCGAACAACGGCTTTGGTTTTACTTGTCTATTCTGTACAGCATTTCATTGAATATTCATTTAATTGAACGAAATTGTTATAACAATTTAATTAATTAACTGAATAGTAAATATCGAAAACATTAATACAGAATTGTAGAATAAATCATGTTCATTTTATGGGCATACACTGGATCAAACATATACTGTATGTAAAGGTAATGTCAATATTATATCAATTTTTATATATTGAACACAATAAAAACTTATATCGATAAAAGTTTTATTATTATTATTCAATAAAATTTATTGTTAGTGTCGGCGATAAAAATACAATGAATATGAATCGAATGCTAAAATATTCATTAATTTTGTATATTATAACAACTGGTAGTATTGCCAGCAATGATAAGGTGGTCACTCTGCCCTCCACAACACCCAATCCCTGTCACGTCGACAATACCTGCAACTGTACTGTCGATGAGATTGAAGTGATTTGTGGCGACGATATTACCGACACATCTATTAAGCGTCTCTCTCTCTCTCTCTCTCTCTCTCATGTTTGTCTGACATAACTACTGATTATTAATAATTAGATATCTATGTCTACCAAATCTAACACACTTACGGTGTAATTACAGGCCACAGGTATACTCATCCACGAGTGTTGTTTCAATGAAAGGCCAGTTTGCTTCACAAAGTCTTCGGGATCGCAGTCGGGGTTCACACCGTCCGAGTGGTGCCAAACATATATCAAGTCATTCGCTTCAAATGTGGGCCATCTTTTGACCCCAGCTTTCAATGGCTTTAATTCAGAATCTGTTAAAAGTAAATAATTAATAAATTGGGATTAATTACTGTTACGTTTTAATTGAGAGAGAGAGAGGAGAGAGAGAGAGAAAGAGAGAGAGAGAGAGCTCTATAAAAAATCAAATAGTAAGAAGTTGTATTGTATGTATAGATAAGAATACCGGTCAGATTAGGTATGCGTTTGCACTGTCCGTCCCGTCCTTTGAACCTCCAGCCATGGAATGGACACTGAATACAGTCGTCGCCCGATTCAGTCACCACATGTCCGCCGACACCGAGATTTGCGCCCAAATGTGGACAATAGGCGGACAACACGTGAACAGCACCCGTCGGACCTCTGAATGCCACCAACTGTTGGCCACACATCTCAAAAAGCTTGACTTCATTGAGGGTCAGTTCACTCGACACCATAATAACTATCCATGAGTTGGGATATGGCGGGGCCGGAGCGTGTGCAGCTGGATCATGGTTAAATACAGGCTAAATATATTTGACAAAAATTAACAATAAATTTATAAATTATTGTTTAGCACAGTTAAATATAATTTGATAAAATATGGTAAAATATTTTACACTGTATTTTGTATATAATCTACTTCTCAATATGATTTAGCATAATACATACCGTTGCAACTCTATCAGCGTATTTCTCAAAGTTATATATTAGTAATTTATATAAAATATAAACTATTAACAACGCGATTATAATGTCATACATCGGCATCTCAATCGCTTAGATTTTACTACTAAAATAATTTGCAAAATTAGTTTCACAAATTACTACACATTATTTTACCATATGCTTCAAAGTTAATTAAGTTAAAGTTTAACAAAATATGTTATCATAAGTTATGATTCATAACACAACATATGAATCAGCCGGTTTGATTTTAGACTTAATCGTAGACTCTAATGCTAAAACTTATGCATTAAACTTATTGTTAAATATCTAATTATATTGTTAGCATTTTATATAAAAATTAGTTTAATGTTATAAACAATTGTTTATTTGCATGAAAATACGTTTTTACATTTTATAAATCTAATTTAATTGTGTTTAAATGTTTATCACAACGTTTTAAAATCAACGCTAGACCAAGACAAAACTTAATTTGAATGTTTGAATATAATGTAATGAGTGGGTTTTAACATTAGTTCTTATGACTAAGCCTGATACCATTCCGGTTAATTCATATTATGTTGTTATAAATTCAATTTAATATTTTATAGTATGTAGGCTTGCAAATTCTGATTTAGAAATTCGTTGTAATAAACAATAATTTTAACAACTTTTTAACTTTCCCGCAATCAGCAGCCAATCACCGGCCAGACCAACAACACTGTGGCCAACACTGATACAGCAATTCCGGTGTCGGTCCCCGGAAACGGACAAATAGTTATCGATTACGAAGGCAGTCAATCACCCGCACCAACCATAGCGCCTATCATTAAAAATATGATAGTAAGTACTGTCAGTCCTATCAATCCTGCCATCATTGCTATCCCTGCCATCTCTATCAGTCCTATCATTCTTCCTATTGTTAGTCAAACACTTAACTTTCAATCAGTGACAACAACCCCTTCCACACCCATCACATCCGACAACTAGAGTGACCAATAGACTGACCAGATGGGTTTTGCTAAATTCTGGATTTTCATAAAAATTCTGCTAATATTCCTGGACAAATTCTGGACAAAAAGTGTTCCAAACCTTGACTAATTCTGGACAGGTTTTAAGCAATAATACAATATTTTATTCATGTTTTTAAGACAATTTTAGTTTATTTGTGCCTGTACATTTTATATTTATACATTACGTTATTTGATTTAAGATACGTATAACATTTAAGATTGTATATAACAAGTACATATTTAACAAAAACACAATAAAGTTAATCACAATTTAAACTATATGCTAAAACGAGACTATTATGTGTGACGTTTTGCTTGAAAATATTTACATTCATTGCTATTATTCACATATGAAAACCATTAACTTTATGTATAACTTATGTTTATTAAATTATATATTCAATTAGATAATTATATTTATAAATATTGTACACAATTCGTATTATTGATGGTATTGCGAATTGGTAATATATCGATAAACTTCCATTAGCAAATATATTTTTTCAACAGAGCACTTTATATGTGAAAAAATTTAATATTGATTATTTTAAAGTGTAATTGTATATATATTGTACAAGTATTTGGGCAGTACGTTATGAACAATTACCTTTAATAAAAGCACTGCTAACAAATACTGTATGCAGTTTAAAGAACATTTATAGTAAAAATTTTCATTTGATCATTCCTGGACATTATAATGTCAAGGTTTACCCCCGCCCTGGACACTGGACAGAGACCTTCATTCCGGGACAATCCAGGCCATTTCTGGACATCTGGTCAGTCTAGTGACCAACCGTCCCGATTTCGCCCATTTTGCCCAGCGTCCCGACGAGGGTCTCGTCGGGACCATAGAACATCCCGATCAAATTTTATAATATTACAAATTATTTATTTGATAATATACAAAAGTTTTATGATATGGGCGATAAGTTTTATGTACTGTAGTTATGCAAAAGTTATCAATTTCAAATGTTTTTGCTAGTTCAAATTATCTAGTTTTGTCTAGACACTAATTGTACCATGAGCACATTGCTATCAGTATTAACAAAATATGATAATCGATAATAAAACATATAAAATTTTAATTTGATTTGAATTATTTTATTAGAATTAATTGGATTCTAATTAACTATACTTTATATAATTAAAATAGTTGTTAATGTAAAACATAATGTGAAGTATTTATTTTGTGTATACTTTTGGGAATTGATTTACAAATTAAAAGTACCATGATCATTCGTACAATTTTTAAAATCAGTGTCCGTAAGGCTGGAGAAGTAGCGCTTATCATCGCATCGGAGGGGACCCGACATCTTAGGCTTCATAGTGCTGTTCACGTAAACCCATTTCAGACCACAGATACAGTTCACGTGATTTCCTACACAAACAATAAAGCAGTAATTTATAATTAATAATAAAATTAAAATCAAAAAATAGTATAGTATTTAAATTTTTAGATAAACAAATATTGGATTAAAACTACTCTTACATTACCTTTAATAATAATCTTCGAGGGCTCGTAGCTTAACATATGGGCGAATGTATTGGCCGTTAATTGCGTTAAATTGTTGAAAGACAGGTCTAGAGTGACGGGTCGGTCGAGTCCGGCAAAGGCCTGGTCACCGATTTGGGCGATTTGGTTCAGTTTGAAGTTAATTTTTATGGGATTGTATTGCGAGCCGTTTACTGATTGCAGTGTAAATGAATTGTCCGCCAGTTTTGTCAATAAATTGTCGCTTAAATCCAACCAATTTAACCCATGAAGTGGTTTAAACGCATTTTTACCAAGGGTCTTCAGTTGGTTCCTGTCCAGAAGCACCATGGTCAACTGATGCTGGTTAGGCCCAAACGCATTATCTGCTATCTCCTCTAAATTATTACATTTAATTAATCAATATATTTAATTATTAATTAAAATAACTATTATTTTATTGATAAAAGTAGAGATAATTAAGTTAATTAAGTTTTATTGATTGTTGTGTTGGAAATAATCTCTAATAACTAAATTCAATTATTTAATCAATTGATAGAACTGTAAATTGTTATAAAGTATAGAAAAACTAAGAAATTATAAAAACTAATCAAATTATAAAATCTACAAAATAGTTGAAAATAATGTTAAAAATTGAGATCTCGATCGAAGAGATGATCGAAATGTTTGTTCAATACCTGATTGTCTGAGAGATCAACAGAAGTCAAGCGAACCAATTGTGAAATGGCTTTAAATAAGGATTCGCTGGACTTCAGTGAACACGAGCTGATCCGCAAAGATGTGGTCGTATTGACTGAANAGAGATCAACAGAAGTCAAGCGAACCAATTGTGAAATGGCTTTAAATAAGGATTCGCTGGACTTCAGTGAACACGAGCTGATCCGCAAAGATGTGGTCGTATTGACTGAACTGGCGAACGCATTCTCGCCCACCATGGTCAGTGTTTTCACATTGAACACGTTCATTGTTTTGAATGATACCTAATTGATAAATTAATTGTACAATAAAATTACTATAACTTTAAACTAGATGTAATAAGAATAAAAGTTTATAAAGTATATAATGATAAATAATTTAATCATGTTTTACGTCGTGAAAGATATAGTCGGGGAGACCAGTGATGAGGTGATTGTCGTACAACTCAAATGCGTCCAAATATGTCTTCACTTTAATCTCATTGAATGTCCGCTTAATAGATGTGTCGGTAATATCGTCGCCACAAATCACTTCAATCTCATCGACAGTACAGTTGCAGGTATTGTCGACGTGACAGGGATTGGGTGTTGTGGAGGGCAGAGTGACCACCTTATCATAGCTGGCAATACTACCAGTTGTTATAATATGCAAAATTAATGAATGTTTTAGCACTCGATTCAAATTCATTGTGTATTTATCGCCGACACTAACAATAAAAGCTAACAGAATTGTGTTGAATAATAATAGCAAAACTTTTATCGATATATTTTTAAACCACAATTCAGCATTCAATAATGTTGTTTATAGGATCGTTCAGATACTTTAACATGGGTAATGCTAATCCTGTGGAGCTTTTTCCATATACTTAACATAGTCTAATGTTATCCTATGAGTAATATTTATCTTATGAAACTAATGTTAAGTCTATGGAAGGATACGTTAACATTAATTTTTATGAGATTACAGCTTAAGTTTATGACATAGGTATAACATAGGTAATGCAAAATCTATGTCTATGGAAAATTTTTAATTAATGGAGCTAATGCTAATGCATGTTAACTTTATGGACTTAGTGCTAAATCAATGACATGTCTATTGTACTCATATTAAATTTATAGACATTGGTAATCTATTCTTTGACCAATACCCGAATTGTGGTTAACGTATAGCATCGCTGTGTAGCGCGAGAATCAGTCAATTTAACCAAAAACTACAGTAAAATCTCAAAACTAGAGCTGATAATAAAACAGTATAAATTAATAAAACATTAAATATTTATATAATTTGAAATATAACTACAATTTATATTATATTTACTGGTAAATATAAATTCAATGAATTTTATAATAAAAAATATACGTAATTTATGAACGTGTGTAATGAATCATTACTAATGATTTGTTTTGCAAGTCATTCAATCAGTGTTTACATTACATGTAATTTATATATTTAATTAATTAATTAAAATTAACACCGATTTGCATTCACCCCACCAATTAGTGCAATTGGCATTTAGCTCCGTATGCATGGGCGTACAGATGGCAGTGACACACAAAGCCCGTTTCATCACGGTAGTGTCCGTAATATACCATGTGCGGGATTTTCTTTGGTCGGAGGGGCCCTTTTCCTTCTATACAAATGAATTTTCGCCCCAAACCCCTGTCTAAATTTTTAATTTTTGATAAAAAAAAACTTCAAAAATTAAAAAAAACCATGTACCTTTACTTATAGTAAAGTGTTTATATTAATTTGTGCTTAGCGCTAAAAAGGACTATGACAGCTTGCTATGATAAATTTTAATTGTTGACCTGCTATGCTATGATATTAATACTTGTAAATTAATTATGTAATTAATATTTTAACAAATCATTTAATATATTTAACAGTCAAAATGGACGTGAATAGCGAAACACAATTTGATTTGAATGATTTTGTAAATGATTTCCACACACTTGCGCAATATGAAGAAGTGGTTGAAATGGAAATAGATTTAAATAATGATTGGGTTGAAGACAATGTTGACAATCCACCTCAATGGTTGCCAGAGTTTAATGTCACTTCAGGCGCAAAAGTTAACATCTCTATCGATCCGATAGATGTGATTAAAATGTTCTTATCAGAACAAATTGTATCAGAAATTGTAAACACCACTAACAGTCACTCTTCTGATCTCAACTTTAAACCAATTAATGAAATTAAGTTGAAGAAATTGATTGGTATATTAATTTATATAAGTTATTTTAAATTTTAAAATTTAAAAAACACTAAATTTAATAATTACTTAATTCTAATATGTTAGGAATTCAAATTCTAATGGGAATGAAAACTTTGAGCGTTGAAAGAGACCATTGGAGCAAAGACCCACGGTTTCTCACATCAAAAATAAAAGCCTCAATGTCAAGAGATCGATATCTCGAAATCAAACGCAATTTAAGATTTTATTATATCACTGACAGCAGCATTGATAATATAGAATATATAATAGACTAAACACTACCAATAGACTTATCATTGCCATAGACTTATCATTACCCATGTTATTCCTATGCCATAGATTTAGCATTGCCCATGTTATTACTATGCCAATGACTTAACATTGCCCATGTTATTCCTATGCCATAGACTTAAGCTGTTATCCCATAGGAACCCATGTTAACGCATTTTCCCATAGCAAAAAGTATCCCCCATGCTATCCTATGGGAGCCTTCCCATGTTAAGGTATAGTCATAGGATTAACATAGGATCCCATGTTAAATCCCATAGGGTGAGGGGAAAGAGAAAGGGGAGGGGGGCCGAGCGATCCTATTAACCACATTATTCATACTGAATTGTTGTTAAAAATGGGTGCGCGGTTTGTATTGTGGGAGGGTGTCCATTTATGTATTTACCGATGGCTGAAATCATAATTTAGAATCAAATCATAGTAACCATTTAATTTACCATGCACTAATATTAATAGAGATAATTCAAACTCAAAACACCAAGTGCTATTCATTGACTAGCATTGATTGATACATTAACTCTGGTCACACAAAAATTGCTGATCAACCTGATTGGCCGCATGTGTTCAGTGGGTTTGCAATTAATTCACGTTATAATTGCTGTAATGATATTTATATTAAACTGTATAAGAAAACTAATAATCAATCCCAATAAATAAATCATCACTTCAAGCACTTTTAACACAAAAATATGTTTACTTTAAATAAATGAGATAATAAATAAATGAGGTAATCACAAACACAAAATGATATTACAAAACTCAAGATATGCGTCGTAGAACTCTCACTTTGGTGTTTGTGTTTACATTCGAATTTATATTTTTCTATTTTCAATTACGACTAATTTGATGTACTGATAATTAAAATTGAATTTGTAATTTTTAAATGACAAGGTTTTAAATTATTGTATTTTTACCTCTTTAATATGAGTATAGTCTGATACTTAAATTACATTTATAGTAAAAATCCTGATACAAGTGTCAAATAATATTTTATTTTGTACAATTTGATATATAAATTGTAAAAATTGGTCCAGTACTTTTTGAGTTATGACTACTATTCATTGTCCATAGTAGGAGTTCCCTAATGTTCTTTATAACTTGACGTGTTTGATTCACTACCTTGATAATTTGCAAAGTATTATTCACTTTAATCGTTACACTTCTTATAGTCATTATATGCCCTGTTTTGATATTTATATCAACAATTATATTATGAGTAAATATTAGTTTTTATTAAGAAACATGTTTAAACCCCACTAATTATATTTAGGTACCATACAGTATATATGAGCAGCACTTGAATAAAGTATAAATAACACAACAATAAAGTGAACATATTTCGTACGTAGGGATTTCGTAGTCCATAGGAAATACATTGGGTACTTAGTGCCATTTGGAAATTTCTCTTTCATTTCTGGACATCTGGTAAATCTAATCGTTGGATACCTCTTAGGGCCCCCTTTCGATCCATATACCTAACCTAACTATTACGCGCCGCCAGCTCTTTGAGTTTAAATTTTTGTACTTTTCCGGTGACAGTTCGGGGAAAGTCTGACACAAACTCTATGCTCTCTGGTATCTTAAAATGACTGATCTGGAGATGAATTTAGATTTAGATCATATATTTTATTTCATATATCATTTACATCAGATTCAAACTTATTATACGTAACACACCTTTCCTTTACAGTACTCCTTAACAGCTTCAGTGTCTAACGCGTCGTCGGCTTTAAGCTTTATATATGCGGCCAACCGTTCGCCAAGTCTATTGTCAGGTATTCCCACCACCTATTCGTGTACATTATATTGTCATTTATATTATTAACAAATTAACACATGATATACGTGTGCGTCTGCGATGGACGGGTGTGTCATCAGAAAGTCCTCCACCTCTTTGGGGTATATGTTTTCGCCGCCTCTAATGATCATATCGTTGATGCGGCCATTGATATACAAATACCCGCAATCGTCCATAAAACCCATGTCACTACACGTATCAATGGTGAGTATGTGAGTGATTAAGTAAGAGACAGATAGAGAGAGAGAGAGAAAGAAAGAAAGAGAGAGAGAGAGAGAGAGAGAGATGAAAAAGGGGTGAAATATTAACGATTATATAATATGTATTTATTTTTAGCAATATATCAACAAATTAGTGAATTAATGCATTGATGTTATGGAGAGAGAGAGAGAGAGAGAGAGAATCGCTTACCCGGTGTGATACCACCGATTTTTGTCGAGAACCTCATCAGTTTGATCAGGCTGATTATAATAACCAAGAAACGTACAATGACCACGAGCACAAACTTCGCCCGACACACCAATCGGTTGTATTGCACCGGTAATGGGCTCTACAATCTTGATCTCCACGTGTTCTATGGGTCGTCCGACAGACTTTAGCCGACGCTCAGGTGAATCGCCAACCGATGTATGTGTCACAAGTGGACTGCATTCGGTGGCTCCGTATATGAGCTGTCATTAGTTTAAACGAAGAGTGAATGTAAATATAAAAATTGTTGTCAATTGTTGTAAAGAATTGCTTTATTACTGACCAAAATGTGGGCACACGTGGGGATACGCTTATAGATCTCATCCAGTAGTGATGGTGAACAGGGTGATCCACCCATTATACCTGTTATATGTATATGTCAATTGTTAATATATTCTCAGTTTACATAAAGCTTTATAATATGCAGGCCGCCAAATACTCTGTTAAATAGCATATTTTCCCTTTAATTTTACGGCATTAAACTTGAAGCAATTGATCTAGCTCATTCCTTTTGAAAAATTTGTCAAATTTATTTGGCGGCTTAGATAATATTGTGATAATAATAAATGGTGAAAAATAACATCTTATTATAATGACCGGTATGTTAAATTTATTATATCACACCTACTTCATCAGTACACATACCTCTAACTAACGAGCTTGTATTGTATTTAGTAAGATCGCAGGCCAGCAGATCTACAAACATAGTAGGCGTACCATATACCATGTGACACCTTCAAATTAAATATATTACTCCGTAATTAATGGATAAATTAATAATCTAATTCATACTTGTATTTATCGATCGCCTCAAGTGTCTTGTGTGAGTTGAATACAGGGGCCGGCAAAACCATTGTGGCTCTCCGGAGGGCAATCATAAGTGAGCCCACTATTGACCCAAAACAGTGATACAGAGGCGGCGGTACGCATACTGTTAGGCCGTTCAGCTCTAGATCTTCCAGCGATCGTTTGCTCAATAGATACGCGTTTTGTATAATATTATGATGGGTTAGTGTCGCCGCCTTTGGGCTCCCAGTTGTGCCCGAAGTGAACTGTATGTTAATCGGGTCGTCAAACTGTATGGCCGGGTCGTCGACACACTCACAGTTGCCGTTGACCGATGCCATCAGATCATTGAAACGGGGTATGTGTTTGGGTGCCATTTCCGGCTCATCGTCGCCGCTGTTTATTACTATTATATTCTCGAGACTCGGTATTCTGATTATAATTATGATTAGTAAAAGTTATTTTATTCATTTTAATTGAAATTATTTTGTCATTGCATCAAGAAATACTGATTCCAATGCAATGCAATTAACATAATAGACTAGTGTTACCAAAAGATTGCCCAAAGGAATTCAAAGAATTCTATACAAAAACTCGAGGAACTTACTTAACAATAAATTTATTAAGGAATTTGAAAAAATTACCTGGAAACACTATAATAGACATGTATTTTACTCACTTATCGCATTGAATAGCGTTTCCATCGGTATTGTTTTGCAACAATTTTATTGATATATTGTCCAAGATTTTACAGTAATTACTACTCCGAAACTGTTGGCTACATATTAAGGTATGACAGCCCACCAGATTCAGCGCATACTGGAGCTCATTGGCCCGATAGCCAGGGTTCACATTTACCTGTTCATTAAATTGTTAAGAAATAAAAGATTATGGCAACAGTTATTATAGAATATTCAACTGATTTAATTATTAAAGAAATTAATATTTAATTGTACATATACTGCTATTATGCCTAACGAAATATACAAATACATTGTAATATTATAATATATATAACCCAAAATAGCAATAAATAATGCATACCAATATTGCTCCAATTTTAACGGTGGCATATTGTGTAATAACCCATTCATAACAATTGATGGCCCAAATGCCTACTCTGTCACCCCTTCTGCATCCCAAACCCTTCAGACCGATGGCCAACTTATTTGCCTGCAATTTATAGTCAGTTTTATTTCAACAATTAATTAAAACGTGTTTAAATCTTTTATATTTATTTAGAACGTGTAATATTGTAAATTGCTCTTAAAATAAAATAATTAAAACATTATTTACGTCAGAATTAAGTTCGGCATAGGTTTTGGTGATGTGTTGGTGAGCGGACACGACGGCCGTTTTGTCGGGCGAGTCATTAGCGCACTCTCGGATTAATTGACCGATTGTTTGGCCCGACATGGTCTCTAGTGACGGCTCAAACGCGTAACTATAGCCCGATGTATGACGACTAGTGGTGAAAAAATTAATTTTATATTTTAAATTTATTATTAAATTCATACCTTATAGAAGACATTATTATTTATATAAATTAATTATATAATGTATATTAGATTATGGTTATAGATTAGTAATTAACGTGTAATTATTTTATTAATTGTAATCAATGAATATTATTAACTATTACTACATATAATTAATATAGTATAATAATATATTAACTAACACCTGTAAAATCGGCATAAAAATATCCCTTATGTTTAGCTCAATAGACATTATTTTATGTGAAAATTTAAACGGAATGCTATGAGTAGTGTTGCCAACTCTGATTGACTACCGCCTTGAAAATTACAAAAATTTTCTAAATTCACTTAAACCAAATCTTGACCACCATTACTATTGCATATTTGATTATAAATACTTTTGAAATATTAGTAAAATACTAATTTATATTTTAATTTAATTATAACGTTAAGTTCTATTATAATACAGTGTATTTTCGATATAAAATTCGGGCATTTTGAAGACAAAAGTCTTTCTTATGAAGGGTTCTTATGAACGCGCATAGCTGATTCAACCGACCAGTGCCAATTAAGATGATTGTAAATTCTTAAGTTTCCATAAAGAATATTCATTGAAAACAACACTATATTTCTTAGCATTTATTCATTATCTTTTGTGCGGGTTATAACAATTAGTAAATCTTATTCATCAATCAATATTCAAGTGATTGTAATTAATGACAAATTCATAATGTGTGAAACATTTAGTTATTAACAATTATAAAAGCAATCCTTGAATTTAAATATCGGATTACTATATGTATTAAACATTGATTGAATTCTTGTGCAATGAATGCAAAATTATTGTTCATCTCATTATTTACTACGTAGAGGTTAATGTAATTATCCAAAAGTGCTTGTCTCTTATTATATAATATGATTATATTGTTACAATTGGGTCACATTTCTGTGACCGACAGTAACGGCTGGGCTGTGAAACCCAGTCTGGGCACGGCAGACAAACACTGCCAAGGTCCAGCGAGCGGTATCCAGACTCTTGGCTTGTTATCAGCTGTGCCGTCAGCACGTGGGTGCTGACCTCGGTGGTCCCGGTAGTCCAACTGCCAGTACCGCGAGTGTTGTTGAATGTGGAGAACCGGACAAACCATCAAACTCTCTCAGACAACAACCATAAGATCCCCTTAACCGACTAGCATCGTTTTCAACTCAACGAAGTACTCGTTTGGCGGCGCGATAGCCTTCGCGGATGTGGGAATCAAACGGCCAATCAATAAGACGATCTTTGGCATGACTCGCTTACGATGTTAAGAGAGCTAGCGCTAGATACCGTATACAGCCTTTACCTTATTACTCGATAAAGAGTCGTTACTCGAATCGTTCGAATTAGCGGCCATAACCAAAACACCCCAGGCACAGCTCGGTATCGAGCAAACTAACAGGCGTTTACCTGTTCATTAAATTGTTAAGAGATAAAAAATTATGGCAATATATATTATAGAATATTCAACGGATTTTATTATTATTAAAAAATTTTATATTATATTGTAGGTATACTGCTATTATGCCTTAAAATATATACAAATACATTGTAATATTATAATATAAAGTTATATATCAATATAACGCAAAATATCAATAAATATTGCATATTATTATTGCTCCAGATTTAGCGGTGGCATATTGTGTAATAACCCATTCATATATGGGCGGCCGATATCTTTCCTCCAGTCTGAATTTACAATATCTTCCAAACGGAATGAGCTAGCTCAAATCTGTAAACGGTAAAATGATGTCCCATATATCTAATATTTTATCTGAAAAAATTATTCAAATGGCGGCCGATATCTTTCCTCCAGTCTGAATTTACAATATCTTCCAAACGGAATGAGCTAGCTCAAATCTGTAAACGGTAAAATGATGTCCCATATATCTAATATTTTATCTGAAAAAATTATTCAAATCACGTTACTAGAACATAGAAATTTCTGGGTCATTTCGAA